GAGCTTGACTTTTATGTAGTTTAATCAGTGCTGATAGTGATATTGAGGGAATGGGTTATGAAATATACAGCCGGAAGTCTACTTTTTAAGTTGGAATAACCCTGTAGCATCTTCTGAACAACAAAATTATCTCCAGAATCCATATGGGCAGTTTGCTTGTTAAACAATCCATAATAAAAAACATAGGTCTACACAGTAGAAGCTGCCAAACTACGGGCGGCACAAGATGCAATGAATATTGAGAGGCAGTTCATGCTTTTTGGAATCACTTCGTTTTGTAGATTATGTTGGCTTGTAAAGAGTTCAAGTTCACATATCATGACCTTGGAGCTAGAGCATTGGCTAATAACGAGTCATTAACTTTCATCATAGCTTCCAGGTCTTGGTTGGAGGGAGACATGTTGGCCTCCGGTTTATTGTTGACAGATCCCTCCACCTGTAACATAGGCAGCAGTGGTTTACACCCCGAGTATAACCATCCGCATAAAGTAAACCTTAGGCAGACTAAAACCAGCCAGCGAATCAAAGTCATAAGATTGGAGTACTTTGGCTGTCTGAAACATCATGCATCAGTTTTTAATGCTAATATCAATGGGAATAAATCCGGTATTGAAATATGACGAGTAAGAGCCGACTGGTCCAATCTCCCAAAAGTCAAGATTAACCCTAATTGGCCCCACATCCAAGATCACTTGCATCTGTGAACAGACGAAGTTGCCTGAAATCTTCCCGTATGTAATTCAAGACCTCATAATATGTTCCTTGATATGGTTTTTTTCCACATTATACGTCCTTAAATGAAAGTCATCCTTTAGATATACTCCTGCTTATGTCAGATTTTGTCACCGTTTAAGTTCCGTTTGTGCTGGTTTGTGATAAATTGAAAAACAAAGGGTTTGAACAAAGGAAGAAAATTAACAATAGTAAGAAAATGGATGTGGTGACACTAGGCGCATCGGGTCAGTGATCATTTCTCCCCATCACTTAAAATGGTTTATATCACACATTACGCAGCGGATTAACATATAGAATATTAACGGTTTTAAGAGGAAGTCAGCTTTCACTGATACACGAATAAAACTGAAGATATAAGGAAAATTCATCACCCGTTGAAGAAAAAATAGCCACTTAGGCCAATAATTAGGGTAATTTTAGATTTTACTGCTTGGAAAAAAATCTATCTAAGACACAATCAAAAATACAAGTATCATAACATAATTGGCGTTGCATTACCCACAGAAAGGTAGTAAAGAAAATAATAAACGCAACGATGTTTAACTACTTTTAACACACAAAAATGACATACTATTAAAAAAAACTTAGGGAAGGTGGTTCTAGCCAAATATTGTCATTATGAAAAAAAGTCCTTGTACCATAACTTTTGCTGACATTAATACGATTTTTATCGTTAGATGCTTGGATGATAAAGCAAATAAGATATAGAACATTACCGTTAAGACGATTGTTATTCAATATGCACTACCAGTCCAAATTAACCTTAAGAAGGTACAATGTATTATGTTGGGAAATATTTAATTGGTTTATATACAAGTTAAAACCCTCATGTGATGTTTGGTGCACAAAAATGCTTGCTTGGCTATTCTAAATAAATTGGTTACTTTGAGGGATTAACATTCAATGTTTGATCTAGGTTAGAATCTAAAAGTATCTGAGGGTATATCGAAATAAAACGAAAAAAACATCATGATACTTCACAAAGGACTGTAATTGAAATCACTTTCTTGAAAAGAAAACCTGCACTCACATATATAGGTAAAATATAGGTCGCAAAAGTTTAGACAAACTCGTATCTTTGGAAAAAATATAGTTTTAATATAGCTTACAAAATATGATAACCAACCATCATCCGTTGGGAAACCTGCAGATACATGTTATTCAATGCCCCTCGTTTGTATTACATACTAGATAACAGACTGTCATTGGTACAATGGTGAACTGTACTTCTGGCTCTCGTTTGTATTCCATACTAAAGACCAGACTGTCATTGGTACAATGGTGAACTGTACTTCTGGCTCTCGTTTGTATTACATACTAGATAACAGACTGTCATTTGTACAATGGTGAACTGTACTTCTGGCTCTCGTTTGTATTCCATACTAGATAACAGACTGTCAATTTGTACAATGGTGAACTGTACTTCTGGCTCTCGTTTGTATTACATACTAGATAACAGACTGTCATTTGTACAATGGTGAACTGTACTTCTGGCTCTCGGTTAGTTTTATTCATACATCGTCAAGTAACGCCACCTCTTTGTGTACATTGTCAGTGCGAAACCTGATAAACTCCAGACGCATTTCAATTCACCAATAAACAATTCAATCTTTGCGTATTGCAGAGGTATCTGCACTTGTGAGCAGGTATTGATTGTTACGTGATTTGTTTTTGAGAGTAAAGTCATTAATATTTGAGAAAACGACGTAATTTTCTCACACAAGCCAATGACGTAACAATCAATACCTGCTCACAAGAGAAGATAACTCTGCAATACGCAAAGACGGAATAAGTGCAACCGAGGAATAGTTTGATGTATCTAAACCGACCAGCGTTGTATTAGAAACAAGGAATTCCGAGGAAAACACAAGACTTAAATGACCGTTTCCACCTTCTCTCGTAGGCAGGGAATCAATCATCATGCCACGCACTAAGTACTTCTGTCCGTCTTGGCCTATGTATAAGACCGGTAAGCCGGACAGAACAGGCCTGAAACCACATGTCTACTTAGTGCTTGTCTCTGTCATTGTATCAATCCATTTCAGATCCGAATGATAATGTCAAATTATATAATATGTGTAATGTTACTGTTATGGACGGATCCTTGTATATATAAAGGTAGACTAAGCATGAATCATTAAATCAATCCATTTCGTGTCAGATGAAAAACGCCAGATTATGTAATTTTCATTTTTTTTTTTATACTAGACAGAACATGAAGCAGGTTCTACATGACGAGTGATCCTGGTATCTATACAGTAGCTTTCAATTTATACTAAGTACTTATTGTTATCACATGAACATAACAACTAGACAATGTTAATTCTAACCATCTCCGCATGATATAAGACGACTCATTGCTTTTATACTGCCACTGTATATTTAAGCGATGTAATATTCCTATTTCAACCACTTTCACGTGCTGGGAAGAAAACACTGTGTTGATACCGACATTGGTTTGATTTTAATGTTATTACTTGTAATGCAATTGAAATCACCAACACTCATCCTTACTAAATCAGCTACCATCGCAAGTATTGTATATCTATCTAGTAAAGTAATCATAATGGCAAATTTCTCTGTTCTCCTAAATTGCCTTAGTAATGCGGAAGTAGAATAATCCGGTTACGTAACTGCGAATGAAGGCAGTTTGATAAACTAACAAGCCAATGTTGTATGTTGAATAACATTAACAGTACGATGAAAACAAACCCCCTCTGTCTTGCGCTGACAAGTTTCATACATGTGAGTCAAAAATAAAAACCATATTAGAAATGTCCTACTTCACGGAAAATCTAACAATACGCGGTAGAAAAAACCAGAGACTCTGTTATTGATACCTATGACACCAACAGGACCGAAGTAGAGAGCAACATACAGAGGATTACGAATTGGAACGTATGGAAAAGGGTTGTATGCTCCTCATGTGATACGTATACAATGTACCTATATTGTACATATATACATGCACTGAATGATAACACCACAGACAGGACGTGCACTCGCATTTGTCCTTATTCATTTCCGTTAGTAGCTTTGTTAAGCTTGACACAGAGAATCGATATTATGCAATAAATGAATTACACAGCTTCAATTAAATGTTGCTTTCTAAAGCAATTTTGCCCAGGGTCTTATGCGCTTTCTGATGAAGATATGCGTTTGCACAAGTTTTTTTAAAGTGTTGTAGACAAACTTGGAGAACGTTTCTCTGCAGTGGGTTTTGATATATCTGCTTCACTTGCCATTTTTGAAACTTGATCAACCATAAAAAAGGGTAAATGTCATTTTGAAAAGACATTAAGCACGTTCTGTGACATTCTATTTCAACATGATACAAATTATCCTGTGCTCTGTCTGATACCATAGCTCTGTGTATACAACCGAACATCGTATGTCAGTTACATATATGCAGTATGTTTTCATATTTGGCCAATGCCTCCACTCATCAGTCCAATGCCCGCCTACCAATTTCGTTGAGTGAAAGGAAACATAATGGATGGATACAGTAGGTGACAGACAGTGATAATGCCACGATATCAGTACTGGTTTGGGACAAGTGACCGTTACTTGGCAGTGACACAAAATTTGGTTCTGCTGCTTGGGTCTATTCAGTGATTACAGACAACCAAATCGATAGACTACGAGTCAGGTCGGATAGAAACGATAACGACTGCAAATTATTCTCAGACAGTAAAAGGTGCACGCACTGAGCATCAAAGACACGTATTTAGAAGGAGTTACCTGTTCACATGTGATGCGTCTGTGTTTGTGTAATGTTCATATAAAATGGAATTCACCTGGAACAGCAATGCATGACGTGAGTACACTTAATCTTGGATTTGTATAATAAATATACACTGCGTATGCATTTAAGTCATAAATTGGAGAAAACAGACGTTTTTTCTCCATTTGGCGGATAATAGAAATAGCGATTCGTTAATTATGTGAAATAAGAATTTTACGGAAACCGACTTGAACAAATATAACATATATTTGGTATTTAATCTTTCTTGAATAATGATGGATGGTACATGTTACATTTATGTTTGTAATAAAGCAGCCATGTAGAAAAGGTCAAAGTAATATTTCGATATTGCCTGTGTTGTGTCACTTCTGTGCTTTGTTATCACATGTCTGGATTGTATCTAAAGGTACAGCTGGAGTAACAACTGCGTCAAACACAGTAACACTATTTTCGAAGAAGAAAACGTCTGTCCAAGTACTTAGGGAATATACCAATTACCGGTGCAATCTCACCTCAAATGATGGACATCACTACTACGGGCTATTCTAACCAGACAAATGACACGTACGAGATTTCAGGAGAAAAGTACGTTCGATATCTTAACATCATTGTGTTTTTCGAAGCTTCCATGTGTGTTCTCATAGTTATAGGAAACGGATTCATAATTACCTTGATTGCACGGAGAAGGTTACTTGGAAGATCTACAAATATATTTGTTTTTTCGATAGCAACAGCTGATTTTCTCAATGGAATTTTGTCGATACCAGCACATGTGCTATTTTTAGTCCTTGGAGGAGATTTGACGGTCTATCTATGCAAATGTCACAAATTCGTCATGTATTTGACGAAAACCGTTGTGCCGTATACGATATTGTTCATGACAGCGGAAAAAACCATGAGGGTATTATGCCCGACAAGAGAGATAGTTACGGTGGCTAGGTGTATGTTCTTCACAAGCTTGTGGTGGTTCTTCAGTGCGGCCTTCAACATTTGGAGCGTAGTGTTATACACTAAAGGGACCGTCAGTGTTAGTGATACGGAGGCACCCACATATCAAATTCCCAGTTGCGTTCTTAACTCCAGATTTATCGACTTACACACAGCTTTTCTACTGACAGATGTCATCATTATTTTTGTGATACCTACATTGGCAATATTTGGATTGTATTGTGTACTTGTCCGAAATAACTTCACAGTGCTACGAGAGAGAATATTAACCTACTTCTATGTGATAAAACTATTCATAGCGTTATTCGTTACATTTGTATTGTGCCAACTACCATTAGAGATATTTACTTTCCTCGACAGCAGAAGAAAACCATTTAGCCTGATATATGTTTTAGCTTCTCACTTTGCTACGTCGCTATATTTCACACGAGGTGTATGGAATTTAGTGATTTATGCCTATTTTAAACATTATGTGTGCCGGAAAAGACAATTCTCCAGCATCCGAGCAAATGGAGCTTTCCGAGCAGGAAATATGGGAGCACCCTCCTTGCGGCAGCGTTTTAGACCGAGAGATCGATAATTCTTTATGGCCGTGCTAACAATGCTAACAACCTTTTTTATTTCTTGAATTAAAATAACACCATCTTAAATGTCCACGTATTTGATTATCTGATTTATTATATTAGATTCTTACATATTGGAAGTAAAAACAGGAATACAGAGACATTTAAACATTCGACAGACTTGACAAACAGACTAAAAACGGACAATTTTACTGTGCTTTGTAATTTTCATTTGTAACCATTGATAAAATGCATTTCCTAACGACCATATCATCACATTTTTGACCAAAACGAATTATCTCTAAATTGTTTATGAACTCTAGAACAAAAATTATTAACATGAACACACTATGACAAAAAGGGAACTTAAGGATCCCCGCCCCACTGCACCGAGGGTTTTCCTGTCGGCAGTACCCCCAACCTCTTAACTTCCGTTTAGGTATAAATGTCGAACAATTGAGCCAAGACACTTCCGCCGACCAGGAAACGGAGCCGGGCAGGGCGATGCTTCTAATTAGTTCGAGGATGATCTGTTCAAGTTTCGAATCCGTGTCTAGCCCTGCGTTTCTTCTCGACTCAGAACACAGTTGTTGATGACATTTTAATTATTTATTATAAAAGTCCCGAAAGGTAGGTTTTTCTTTTCAGAAATCATTTATCAAAGCTAAAGTCATGCCGAGAAGCAGTTTCCAATATTACAGTCTTTGACAGTGATACGAGGACCCTCAAAGTCGATACAAGTACAAGGAATTAAAACAATAGGAAAGATATCGTAAACCAGCACAACACCGACAGTAACATCCGATGTTCCCGGAAGTTAAAAATTGTCTACGCTATATATGGCATCCTTCGTTGAATCTCCTGTCAAATCCAGGTAAGGGTGGAGGTTCCTAAATCGTAAATAATTGTTTTTAATTGTACTTAATGATGCGAGTGACAGTGATGTTAAATACAATTTAATCAATATGACATACAATGTACTTTGATCTAATGTAGGGCGCAGTTGTTACCATTCTCTAGCGTTAGTTTAGGTAAAGGTATGGGTTTAATAGGGGGAAAGGGAGTCTGCAGAAAAAAAACGTTATTTGTTTTTAAGTTATTTAAATATATTGTTTAGACAAATCATATCTTGAGTATCAAGTATTTATAAAAGTTGTTGTTTGGGCCTATGATATCGTGTATATCAAGTGTATGTATCAGTAGTTGTTTTTGCCTATGATATCGTGTATATCAAGTGTATGTATCAGTAGTTGTTTCGGCCTATGATATCGTGTATATCAAGTATTTATAGAAGTTGTTGTTTGGGCCTATGCTATCGTGTATATCAAGTGTATGTATCAGTAGTTGTTTCGGCCTATGATATCGTGTATATCAAGTGTATGTATCAGTATTTGTTTGGGCCTATGCTATCGTGTATATCAAGTGTATGTAGCAGTAGTTGTTTGGGCCTATAATATCGTGTATATCAAGTGTATGTAGCAGTTATTCTTTGTGTTGCGCTATCTTTATCCTTAAGAGTACATTATGGATGTTAAATTCATTATTTTATCTTGTGATATATGGAGTATCAGTAATGTATCTAAAAGTAAAGCCATGCATTCAAGAAGCGTCTTTAGAATTATATTACAGTTTTACCTATGTTTGATGTCATTATTGTATATAGGTCTGTAACTATCTTAATTAATATATAACGTAAAGTTTCCTCGTGTTTTTTGCTTTTCGCACAATCGTCATTTTCATACATACAATTAATAAAAGAAATTGATAAAAAGAATTAGTAAATAAGAAGGGGGGGGGGGGGGGGGGGGAGGCTCACATTATAAACAGAAAGCTAAACATTATTATATACTTTCATCATGTTACAGCGTTAAACTAAGAACTAACATACATTTGAGAATAAGTATAGGATTTCATTATTTAACAAACGTAGGTTGTTTTTTTGCGAAATACGATATTTTTTGTGAATGCACATCGTTCTAATATTAACTCAGTTATCTATTGAACTATTTTACTAAAAAAAGTAAGTGCGCGTACGATAAAAAACACCTATGCTTTCCTGGTAAAAAAAATCTTAAAAGTTGTTGCCTTTGGAATCCGTCTATTTAGTGCCTTGTTTATAGAGACATGTAGCTACAGAAGGCCACGTATTGATTCGACAGTTACAAGAGGGAGAGAACTGAATACAAAGGCAATGGGTTCGATCAAATTTAGCAGCGAATAGGAAAATCAAATTAAACCCCGCAATACAAACACTGTTATACCTTAGTGTAACATTCTCAATAAAGGCTAGTGCTATCACTGGACGGACACGACTGCTATGTCAGCAGAAGGCTTATAAGGATACACGTACATTGTATAAACGACCTGTAACATGTAACACATGTACAGAGAAACAAATAGAACGGAGACCGATACAGAACTGAATTGGATTAACTTTTCCCCAATGGTGTTGATTCTAATTGTGCGGTATTGCAAACGTGTAAAAGAGAATATGACTACAACCGTATACATTTTCAAATAGTTAAGCGCCAGTCTCTTACAATTAGGGAAATGCAACTACATAACGATATATTCAAGTCGAGAACAATTATACATATGACCTATGAATCAGACCGACTTCATGAGTCAGTTACATGTACATCAATGACAGTCAAAGAAAAGTCGATTAATATAATATAAGTTTATTACAACTACCTAAATGTAAATTATCGTTCTCCGCTAGCTAATAAATGTGAAATACACCATATTTGCATACAGCTAATGTCATGATATAAACATTATTTTTGTTCTTAAACAAATTCAAATCAGTTAACAGAAATTATAAAAAGTGATAAACATTAAATCAGTTTTGTTTTACTACGAGTACAAATAAATGTCCTTCAACAGACTGCAAATAGATAAAAAAAAGTTGTGAGTGCAACAAATGATTTTATTAATATTGGTCAAAGCGCATCCACTTCCGCTTGCTTTAAATACTTGATTCTAATCCATATACGTTGTATATTAGCGTTGATGTAATATAACTATATAAACTGAGCGGGATAAAAGTCAGTCCAATATAACTTCATAAACTTCATTAATGCTCAATTCCTTTAGTTGACAAACAAACACATTTTAGGTTTTATTGATCAAAATAAAATCAACAACAAGAGATCCAGACCTTAATTGATATTATCAATGTGGATAAAACTAGAGGAAGGAATGATGATCACGGAGACATTTAATTAAAAAAAGTAACAAGACAAACTATTCCGGAAAGATAGGCGTCATTTAAATCATCGACAACGCCTGCCTTGTAAATCAAGGTCAAATCGAAGAAATGTCACGTCCCCAAAGGGGGCACCAGCGAAACAGTAGGACATACTTACATGTATGAGCATAAGTAAATCCAGCAACCTTTATCTCACACAGGCATAGCATATTTATAAACTGATAGGACTGCAAAACGCGCCCATAGCCGTCTTCAACTGGAGTTTCTCGAAATCCTTTGTTGTAAATTTGTTTGCTAGCAGCCTACGACAAGGTAATGTTACTTGGCCGAGCATTTACTGAGTAAATACAATGTTTTAACTAGGTTAGGAAAACAAGGATGTTACAATTAGGGAAGGGAAACTTTTCAATCATAAAACAGAAATTATCCACCCGAAGTAAATCTTTTGAGTCACCGTACCTCTTGGTCATGTACTTATTATAATCCAGGAAATATGTTAATGTAATAGATTAACTATTGAAAAATAAACGTCAATAAGATAATGATGTTCTATACGAATAAAGTAAATTGATCAGGAGTGTCTTGAATTCACGTGTTTTGAACAAATAATTCTCAATAAATTTTGTTATGCACAACATTTTAAATGAAAAAGATAGACCGAACGGTCGAGAGACTTCAGATGCTGCTTTGTACTTTTCTTGTTTTACAAATTTGTTGTTGTTAATATTTTTAAAAAGAAATTTGATTAAGCTAACAATAAATGGCAAGGACTAGGCACGGTGTGCATGGAAATGCATCCATATAGTTTCTCTAGCGTGATGTACTCTTAGTGAACATCACATCGAGCGACAGGAATAGTCTCCTTGATATTTTACAGTCTTACACAATTCTACACACCGTAGTTAAAACCGATCTCCTTGATACAGCGACTGACTATGATGTCTCAGGTGACTTGTTTGTCACGTAACCTTGTCGATGTGTCTTTATTTGGAACACTCCTGGTTTGGAGATTGTTATCTTAGCGCTAGAGGCTTTAAAAAACCGTCATGTTTTCTCCCCAGAAATAACAACCATTTACTATTACTTTTCGGTATAACTGTCCTCTGTTTCACCAATATCTAATTCAAGTACAAAAGCGAGGCGTCAATGGTAAATTATGTTTTATATATAGCCATTCGGTACAACACAAAGACATAACAACTGATTTAGCATCTGAAGTTTACGCAAATATGAATTTACAGATATATCACGATACTATATATTCGACATTAGTGTTGTGTTACACTCAGTCTGTGTTAAGCTTAATATCCCAGGTTTGTAAAGGGTTTTCGATTGAAATACGTAACCGCTATATTTGGCTGAACAAGCCAAATGATTTTTCAATAAATCGCCAATCCCAGTAAAATAATATACATATGTTAGGAACAAGTAGGTTGATGCAGGTGTCGACTTACATAATTATCGGTAGGGACAATTTGATGTATGTGTCGAGCTATCGCTAACAATATAGACTGACATCAGCCATTGCTATAATTATACATACCAGATTTTGATATGTGTGGGCATTTTCTTACGTACTGTCTCACTCCAACTGTCTGGCACACATACAGACGATGTTATCTGTTGTATCGACATACAGCCAAGTTAATCAAAGACTGTTACTAAAAGCACATTGACATAGGTCACACATCATCACATAAATATAGGCATCGTGTGTGCCAATTCATTTATCACGCCTAATTGGAAAAATCTTGAAGATGATAATTTTATTCCCTGTTAACATCATGTTAAAACAAACATAAGGGCGTTGTGTAAAAACGGTATTTTTAAGTGCATGTTCATTTCCTTCTTTTCAGTAAAATCTAT